ACAATTACTACTTGTAGAGCAAGATAAATCGCATTTAATTACTAGCTAAAGCTTTGGAGAAAGCACACAGAGAAAAGTTGCGTCTTAGGAAAAAAACAGAATATTTTCGTGCTATAGATCGGGGACAGTTACAGAAAGCGGAGCTTCAACTGGCAAATCTCAAAATCAAACATCAGGAAATGTGTATCAAGGCTGAGTTCTTCGAGAGCAAGTACAAGAGCGAGCTAATTCTCACGAAAGCTCTTTCAAAACAACAACTAGAGCTTGAGAAACTAAAAGGGCTTGTAAGCAAAGATGTGACTACGATGCGAGAAGAGAGGGACAATGCTCTCAAATTAGTCCATGAGAATATATGTATCAAGGCTAAGGAGTTGGAAAGGAAGTATAAGGGGGTGGTATTCAATTGAAGAATTTAGAAGAATTGGAAATTAATTTAGTTTGCCTGATTTTAGGGAATCCATTGAAATCTTTTCAAAATACGTGGGAATTGGTTCTTCAATTTTTTATTACAATTCTATTAAATTCTTTTTAAACGATAATACTATAAATAATGCAATAAAATTGAATAACACTAGTTTTTAATGGAATTAAGATTTTAATACATTGAATAACACAAGAATTTAAAAGAATTCATAAAATAGACAATTGAATAACAATGAAATTTGATAGAATGTTCAATTCTTTCAAAATCAATTAAATTCTTGAATTGAATACCACCCCTTAAGTACGAGCTGATTCTCAGGAAAAATTGACATTTTTCAACAATACCACATTTTCAAAAAATTTGGAAATTTTTTTGTTATATCATTTGTGTTTGGATTAATTATGTTTTATTAGGATTTAGTTTTGAGGGTTTAAAGAGTTTAGGGGTCAAAACTTTTTTTAGGATTTATAATTTTAAAATTTAGGTTTTAAAATCTATAATTAGTGGTATTTTTGCAAATAAGCATCCCTAAGTAGCCTTATTGCAAATGTACACACCAAAAATGACATTTTTGCAATTGCCTATTTATTGAATACACGGCGTAATTTTGACAAATTATACACGGCTCTATACAAATTGAAAAAATCTATATACGAACGAGAGTTATGTATCGGGTTGACAATACTTGAAGGATTGACTTACATTTAATTTATCTGAAGGGTATTCTTGCAAACCCTAATCAGTTGGAGTGTTTATTTGCAAAAAATCCATTTTTCTTCCGTTGGTTCGAGAGACAAGAAATAACCTTCTTTCAGATCTAAATCTCTATACATAAATTAATAATTTCATGAAAAACTTGACCTTAAAGTAGGCTACAGTTTGTTAGAGAAAGGGCAAAACTCTAAAAAGGAAAATCCTAAATAAATAGAAAACTAGCATAATAGAAAACTAAAACAAACTCTGAATAAATTGAAATAATATATATGAAAAATCTTTTAAATTATATTGATACTAGGTAAATGACCCATGTATATATGCGGATTGGTAATAGAATATTTTATAGCTCGTAAAAAAAAATTTTCAAAAAAGTAAAAAATAAATCAATCACCTATGAAAATAAACAAAATTAAACCGAAAATAATGATACAAAATATAATTGAAAAGTTCTTGTTTTATTTTGATTGTTTTTCTTATTTGATTTTCAAGTAATTCCTAGATTTATCACATAATTGGTTTTTTCTATTCATCTATGCAGTAACTTTTTACTACTTCACTACTCTATTTTTTATATAAATAATTGAATTAATTACTCAATTTCTTATTTGAATTTTGCAGTTTTATAAATATTTTTAATATGTGAAAAAGAATAAAATTGAAAAGTGTAAGACCACTAATAGAGAAATCTCACCGTTATTAAGTTGTGTTGACTCTTTTTATTTTATAAGATATTTTTTTCATTTAAGTTTGTCAAATATTTTCACATAATTAATTTTTTTCTATTTATAACTGAATTAGGTTATTCTTTTTTATGTATCTACTCATATATCTATTTTTCAGAAATTTGAACGATTAAATCTCATAGTTTTAGTTGCAAACTAAAATTACAAATTTTAATAAGATTTCTTTCACATAATGGATTCCCATATTTTTCTAAAAGCAAACGATGCACAAAAACTTTAGTTTTCAATTTGCAAGAAGCAAATGAGAATACTACAATTAGATCACCATAATCTATCTCACCTCTCGAATAAGAAGATAATTAATGTTACTTTTTAATGAAAATGCTAAAATAAAATATCTGTAAAAGATTATCAAACTTTAAAATTGTTTGATGAAAAGATTAAGAGAGTACAAGACTTCTTATTATGCAAAGACAAAATATTATAAAGTATAACTAGGTGATTCTCCCGCATATACGTGGGTAAATTATTTATATAGTTTTCTTTTTAATTTTAGTCTTTTAAAATATCAAATATGTAGTCGTTTTGATTTTTATTATAGACATTGTTATTAATTTTTTGTTGTCATTTTTTGTCAATAATATTGTTTTTATTAATAATCTAAATTTTAGAAATTTAGTTTTACCATTTAATTATTGAGAAATTTTGAGAAATTTCACTTTTGGAATATCATTTTCTTAAAATACCACAGTTTTAAAATATTTGCAAAAATGCCACTTTTTCAAAATTATTTATTCATTATATTATTTATGTTTGGGTTAACTATGTTGTGTTAGGGTTTAGCTTTGAGGGCTTAAAGTTTGTTAGGGGTCAAAACATTTATTAGGATTTAGAATTTTAAGAATTAGGCTTTAAAATCCACAATTAGTGT